TAAAAAAGTCAACTAGCTTATTTGAAAAGCAACCTAAAGAAGCTTATCAAATAAGCTCGAGATTTTGAAAAAAGCTCGTCCTACCAAACAAGACTTATTTGAATACAGAGAGCTTATAAGTTAACCAAATGAGCTATAAGCTAACTTATTTGTCTACGAAACTTAGCCATAGTCTTTTTTTTTTTTTATTCTAAGTGGTTATTCTATTTTAGGGCACGAAAACTTGGTTTTCCTAACAAGGGAGGGAGGGGGTGAGCTGGTTAAGAGATCTATTTACCATATCTATCACAATATTTTCCTTGTTACGCGGGATTTGTTATATCTAGGTAGCTTATTGGAAATGGTACTTCAAGAGTATAAATATGTCTAAGAGGTGAAAATCTAATTTAATTCAAGTCACTTTATGCACCCATACCAATATTTCATCTCTCACATGGGTGGAGTATCCGGAATTCGAGTGCTGAGAAACAGATATAAACTGGGTTTAATTGGTGTGAAGCACATCAAACTCACATTATCTTTAGATTATTTTAGTTTTGAGACCATGATTTGTGGCTTAACTCTTACTAATTCTAGGTTTGTTATTTTACTGGGATTTATTACGTAACTTGATGAATTTAATCCTTCCATTTTATTCTTTATGTTCATGATCCTTAGTTTGATTGCTTCCGATGTTTCTGTGCACATGTGATAAAACAAGATCGAGAGAAGATAATCAATTGCTAAAATAAGAGGATTTCATGACGTTAGCAAATACCTAGATCGAGAGATTGGTAAATATAAATGTTCGCGGTTGATTATTTATTCATAAATTAATTAACACTTGCTTATGTGGAATACGAACTTGCCACTTTCTATATCTCACCATACATCAATCGGGTCAAGGATCAAATAATCTATATCTATCTAACTATAACTCTCTTAAAACTCTCTTAAAAGGGAGAGTTGTTTCTTGAAAAAATTGGATTGCCAAAATTGTCCTTCACTATAATGTATTTTTGAAGTCAATAATGTAATTTTATGACTAATGTTAATTAGAGTTACAATTATTAACATTCATTTTTCAATAATTCTTCCATAAAACTAAATTAAAAAATAGTATTATCAAGTATTATATGTTTAAAAATGATAGAAGCTAAAGTATAACCCTCCTGTATAACTAACTTTTTTTAATTTAAAATATTTGTTTTATCAATACCTATAATCTATAATCTATATCTATATTTATATCTATATCTATATATAACTCAAGGGAGAGATGTATCTTGAAAAAATTGGATTGCCAAAAATATCTTTCACTACAATTCATTGTTAATGTCACTAATGTAATTTTATCACTAATGTTAGGAAGTTACAATTATTAGCATTCATTTTTCAATAATTCTTCAATAAAATTAAATTGAAAAATAATATTATCAAGTACTAGTACAACTCCCGTGTATTACACGGATGCTTGCTAATTATTTTCTTAAAATCTAAAATTAATGAGAAAAAAGAGTTCAAAATTTAAATACCTTTCATAAAAATATATATATATTATTATATATTTAGTATGACACTTTTTATTTGTGTGACTTACATATGTTATATTATAATAATTTTTTAACTTATAACATATAACAATATTAACATAAATATATCAACTGAGAAAATAATTTTATTTTTCTAATGAATTTTAATAAATAGTATTATTTTTGTTGTTATACTTATAAATATAATTTATTTATTTCAATATATACAATATGGATATCAAATCGAAGATTATCAAAAGATGATTAATTTGATATATTATATATGTAAAAGCGATAAAATACAAAACTTATCAACTTTTAAAATACATGTACAATCAATAGCTAAATGAAGGAAACAAATCAAAAGTCGGGGATATATTAGTCACTTAGTGCCTCACTATGTAAAATTACAAGGAATTAAAGGGTTACATTAGTATAAGTGATACTAAAATACTTAAGTTAGCTAAATAATATTTATGGAATGTCCGAACCTAAATTATTAATTATTAATATATCAATATTATTTGTCCAAACCTAATTACGAAGCATGATTTTTCGCCAAGTAAAATTCCGAAACACCAGAAGCAGCCACGTAGGCTCAGCGCACTCGGGAATTATATATTGGGAGAAGTATATGTTTGAAATTATAGAAGTCAAGTGTAATCCTCCTATACAACTAATATACCTTTTTCAATTTAAAATATTCATTTTTTTAGTAAAAGAACATATAATCCATTAATAGAAATAGTTTTTATACTTTTTAAATCATTATAAAAATATTATGGATCATATTATTTAATTTATCTCAAAATATTAAGTTAATTAAATAATAAATTAATAACATTATTCTTTATGGTTAATAAAGTTACTTTTGTTTTAATTTTTTTATATTATCTTTTAGATAACCAATTTTTTAGGAGATTCATAATAATATAATTTAAGTTCACCTTTCAATAATACACATAATATAGATATTTTTTCGTAATGATATGTGTTGGATTTATGTATCATTTATTTTAATTTTAGTACAAATAAAAAATAAAACTATAAAAAAAAATTAACAAATAAGCGACAAAACCATGAAGTTATTATGTAAATCTATTTTTAACAAAATATTTATCATTAAATCATCTAAATAAAAATAATGAATATATTTACTTAACATTCGATGTCATAGTCGGTGTTATTTGTATATTACTCATGTCATATTCATTCAAAAACTGTTACGCCTCACTTATTTGCAAACAAAAAAATAATAAAATAAAAAGTAACCATTATCCACAATATTATAATACCTTAGACATGATGCAATTGGGAAAGCTTAAGATACTACATTTATATAAATTGTATCAACAAGGTGCATCATCCCTTTCGCCAATGAGCTCATATAAGATCCAAAGTAAGTGTTTGGACCAATATGCGTTACAATGTCATGATAAAAATATTACATAAAAGAAGCATTAATTTATAATTATTGAACTCTTTTTTAATGTTTAAGATAGCCTTGAATTTCCATATAAAAAGAGTTGCATAAGTAATAATGATCAATAACACAATGGTTGTTTATATTTTGTTATATATATTAAGTATCTTCAATCTTTTTATTATTACTAATATTTTTCCAAATAAATTTTATATTTTTTATCATTACATCTAGGAAACTAAAAAATACCTAAGAATTAAGATTTAGCTCGCAAGCATACCTCATATTTCAAGTTTTATATGTTATAGACCAAAACTAAGTAACAAAATACTCCCCCCTTGTAAGAACGCAATTGAAAAATATAACAAGCAAAAATATCCAAAACAACGTTAATTAGTTTTGAAGTTTTGAATTAAGATACATTCAATAAATATTAGCATAAAAATACATTATATCCATTATTAAAGGTGAACTTAAATGTATTATTGGAATATTTTTTCTTAATAAGTTAGATATAAAAAAAAAAATAGTTAATAATTAATATATATATTTTACTTAAGGAAAAATAATTAAATAAAAATTTTACATTTGTATAATGCATGATTATTTTCATTTACAATAATAAGAGAAGAGAAAACATCCAATCGACATTTACATTGAATTAACAATTTAAATGCAATTGCTACAAACAGCAATAATAAAATATATATATATATATATATATATATATATTACATCATTAAAATAACAACAATGATCATTATTTCAAACCATGATTTCAAACCATGATGAAGATAACATTAATTAACAGTTGATAGATAAATGAGACTTCGTTAGCATTGAAAAATTGATCGATTTCATTTTTGGATTTTTTAACACAAAAATATTTATTTATTTCTTTTTATTTAACTAAGCTTTTAATATCATTAATTATGTTTAGTTACCAATACATTTATATAATTTATTATACATGTGTTTCCTCTTTTATTAAACTATTGAAACTTTTTGAATTTTTAACATAAATTCAATAAAAGGATAACTTTTAAATGTAGTCGCTCCAATGTATAAAAAATATTACATCAATAAAAATAACGACAACAATGATCATGATTTCAAACCATGTCGAAGACAATATTAATTAATATATGATAGATAAATGAGATTTCGTTAGCACCCAAAAATTGATTGATTTCATTTTCTAAGACAAACTTATTTATTTTTTTTTTATTTAACTATAGCTTTTAATGTCACTAGAAATTATGTTTAGTACCAATATATTTATATAGGGTCATGCTACATGTACAACTAGTGTTGACAACATTAGTTGACAATACTAGTTATCACAATCATTGAACAAATCTTAGCCACATATTTTTTTAGATCTCAATTATCTACATGATGACACATCATGTTGTACAAAATAATTGTACAAGTAGCTTTATTCATTTATATAATGTGCAATGCTACATGTACAATTATTGTTTACAGCATTTGTTGACAACAATAGTTAAAAGTATCACTAAGTCAAATCTTATCCATACATTCATTTGCATCTCAACCACCAACATGATGCCACATCATGTTGTCATCATTGAATGTTGTACAAAAAAGTTGTACAAATAGCTTTTTCCTCTTTTATTAAACTAATGAAAAATTTTGAATTTTAAGCATAAATTCAATAAAAATATAACTTTTAAATCATAAAAAAATATTAATAAGCAACAAATGCAACTTCCTAGTCAGTAAGAAAGAAGAAAGAACCAAAGAAAGAAGATTTACCTCTACATATT